CACTGCCCCGCGGAGCAGCCAAGGCACCGGCAGCAGGTTGCACCAACGGTACCAGCTCCGGCTCCGGAGGCTGACACCCCTCGTCGCCCCTACCAAGGCCGAACGCTAAAGCAGGATTTTCCCCAGCTAACGCAGGACTTTCCCCATTTACTCTCAAGGGACTAGAGGTCCCTTCTGTGGCTGAGTGGGAATCTGAAGCTTTTGAAGCCTCTGGGAGGATCGGAGGGGGTGGGAAGGAAGGTCTCTCTTAATTGCGAAGGTCGCTGGATACGGCCGAGCGGAGAATTGCCTTGGCTCCGGCAGCGCTCGTCGCGGCCAAGCCGCAGCGGGCACAGGGGCTGGGGAGCGCGGGGGGAAACGGGCTTAGGCTTGCAAATGCTGTAACAGCTCCTGGAGATCTGAGCAGATCGTCACATGCACGAGAAGGGGAGGCTCTGTGGGAAAATGCTATCAGGCTCCGCAGAGAGGCGAAAGGAAGGAAATTCCCCTCGGCAGAGACGACCATTGGTGCGAGAGCTCAGCTGTGTCGGTTCAGGGGACTTCATAAATAACTCAGCCGTCCCCAGGGAGTCATTGCTAAGGTCGCTATTTTTTCCCTTGAACTTTCCAGATGAAGGAAGCAATAGCAGAAGCAATGGCACAAATTTGGCTGAAGATCAACTGTACTGACAACAGTCATAGAATTTAACTGAGAAGAAAAGTCTTTTGTGTTTGCTGGAGTTATCACCAGCTGGGTCAAACAGTTCAAACAGCAATGTGAAGTTCTGCTTGAAAAATATTCCACATGGTCAAAATCATTGGAGCTGAAACTAGCCAGCAAATACAACCAACAGTAACTAATTCCACCACTTGGACTGAGTTAAAAATGCAGAACACATACCAGGCTCCCATTAAAAATTAAAATGTTAAATTGTGTTCTTCAACAAACTGCTCTGATTCAGAGTACGAAAGAGACCCGATTAAAGATTAAGGATGGAAAGTCTATAAAACACTAATTACCGCTGCACTTACAGTGAATTTGGCCTGTTGGGTTTAATTACTTCTAGTTCAAGATCACTTGAGTTCAGGTTGGGCTGCGGAGCACTGTTGGAGTTGAGGAAGCTGTTTACGTTCGAGGATATGACGGATTCCAGGCTGGAGTTGATGATACTGTTCCTGTTCTCCTCTAAAAAAAACACCAAAAAAACAGGACTCGTCACAGCTCACATATAGCTGCCACTTATAAAACAGTAAAGAACATACTGCTGCAAGACATGAAGTATTCCTATTAATAATCCTTGCCCTTATATAAATAGGGCAGTACCACAGCAGATCCCAAAAGACAGGCAGTTAGTTTACAGTCGTGTTCTCACATATATTATTCTTTAAACTCTAAGAAATAGCAGTTACTTTTTTTTTTTTTTTTTTTTAGGGGCAGGTACATTTTAAATGAGTAACACTTCTGGTAAGAAAACATTGATTTTTCTCAAGTCATTAATATTTTACATTCCCAAAGACTTCATCAGTACCCACGTAACCTGAAGAAAATTAAAATGCAAAGTATATGCAGGAATGAATTACTCTGTCAGTGAAACGAGCTACCGAGGGACCGAACGTGCCAGCTGTGTGACGGAGTCGGATAACATTTTAGAGCAAGCAAGGGACAGATCATCCAATTAACGTGTTTCTCAGCAAAAAATGCTTCAGCCTAGGACTCTGCGTCAACTGCTAGTGATCTTTCCTGGTCTGGTTTATAATCAAAAAGCACTGTTATTAAAAGCAGGGGGGAGGAGAGAGAGGAAGGGGTCTCCACCCTGTTCTAATTTTAGCTTACCTCTTCTGAGATACGTATTACCCGGGTGTCAGAAACTCAGCTTTTTACCTGAGCTGGAAAGGCACCTTCATGTCTGCTCTCCCCTGCAGCTCCCGCTGCGGTTGGAGGTCTGGGAGAAGAGTTTGCTTGCCCCAAATTAGAGGGGAAGCTTAGCACCACATCTGACAATTCAGAGGTTTCTTAAGAGTTTCTCGTTTCACTTGATCACGACCTATTGAGAGATTTCTCCCTTATTTGTGTAACTTCAGCAGCTAAGCGTGAAAACATTATGCATCCCAAGCCAATGTCTGCAGCTTGGGCTCCCTTCTCAGCTCTGCACTGGACTACCTAAAAATCACATTAATTCATTCTCATAAGATGCCTTTTCCATATGAGCAGTAGTTGCAACTGTGAGAAACAATTAATATCACTGATGGCGTGGAAAACTGTCCTATGGGAGAGAACTGCCACTTCTGTGGTGATACTTTCATGACAGATAGGCACCTGCTGGAGATCATAATGAGTCCTACTTTAATGATAAATCTCTCAGAGAAATGATTTTTCCTTCATACAGTAATATGATGAAACTACTACTAAAAAGCACACAGCAGTAGGAAATCCCCTGTTTTCCATCCCTTCAAATTGTACAGCTCTGCTTGCCTTAGAAGGAAAATACGTAATGCTCATCCATATGCTGTACATATTTAATAGAGAAATTAAATGAAAACCCAGGATAAGAGGAACTCCTGGTTATATAAAAAGCTAATCCTCAATATACAGCAGAAAGAAATCCCCTACATTTCTGTAAAATAACTGAGCAGTAGTGTTGTCTCATGCAGAGAGGAGCGTAGCACTGTGTAAACTCTTTACCACTGCTTCGAAGATAGAAGATTACATTAGCAAAAGGTCTGTGGATGCAAGGGAGAAAAGCCAAGTCTAAGCTCTGTCACATTCATTTGCTGGAGTCCCTGAACCTGCCCTGGGCCTGGGCAAAACCAGAGGGCTCAGATGTCAGCGAACGAGGACTAAACCTCAGCCTGGGTAGGGAGATGCCCAGGGATGGAGAAGGAAGGCAGAGAAGAGGGGTTCATTAAAATTGGTTTGCAATCTCATCCTCATGTTACAGCTGGTATGATGGGGGCTGCAGAGCAGATCGGAGCTGCTCCTGCACTATGTCTCACTGCTGCCAACACGCTGTGCTGGAGGGTCGCGCATCCTCTGTCGGCAAAACTGTGCTGAGGAGGCCAACCACAATCTCAGCACGGCTGCATCATTATTAATACATGCATTGCATAATGGTCCTGAAAGTCTCAATTAATTAAGACTGAACTGCACAAACTCCTAAGAAGAAACAGACTTTATCTTCAACTAGCTTGATGGCTAAATTACATTAGGCGGGTTGAAAAAAGTAAATAAAGGATTGAGGAACTTAAAATGACCTGCCAGAAGTCATGGCGATGCTAGTTAACAGTAGCACTGAGAAGAGAAGCTGGTTCTTCCCACCTTCAGCCCTCTGCAGGAAGCATGATGCTGCCACCGACTGCTCCACTGAATGTGGAAAAGGCCTAATGTCACAGAGATCAGCAATTTCTGGAGAGACCATCAACACCATAGTTAAAGTAAAATGTCGTTGGCAGAAATGACATTGTAAGAAATCTCCGGTATATGAGCCTCTTGGCCACAGCTCCCTTTCCCTGTTCCCCTGGAAATGCTGAGATGTTCCACTACAGTAAGTCTAAACAAACTCTGTTTGTACTTCAGGAAATCACTAAAGGCCCTACTTGTATTCCTCTATCCCCCAGAGACTTTATTTTCTTTTGATAGACTCGTTAGTACTTACAATAATCCTTACACATAGTTTGCAAGTTGGCTGGTTAGAGCTGCTCCAGGGTACCTCATGTGCAATCAGGCATCCTTATTAGCAGCGTAGACTATAGGGCCATAGGACAGCTCTGGTTGGACCAGAGGTCTCTGGTCCTACCTCCTGCTCCAAGCAGTGCCAGCTACAAGGCCAGATCAGGCTGCTCAGAGCAGTTTGGTCTTGAAAACCTCCAAGGATGGAAGCTGCACAACCTCTCTGGGCAACCTGTCCCACTGCTTGTTCTTATATCCAGTCTGAAATGAAAGTCTGCATGGTTGAGCTCATCTTCCAAAGGTTACCCAAAGCAAAAGACATGTTAATTATGTCAATAGGTTCCTGAAATTGCATTTCATTAATCTTGATCTCCAAGAAGCCAACAAAGGAGCAAGCATCCTTTATACTTCTCTGTCTCTCCCTTTGTGCCTATGTTTTACTTAGTTTTAAGCAGGCCACTCGGATCAGGATTTTTTTGCCCAACCATGTTTTCCAACTTGCCACCTCCTGGCATATCAAAAGAAAAAAAAACAAACAATCTCTTTAGCTTTGAGTCATACGGGGATCAAACAAAAAGCCATGCTTTCCCTAAACCAAGTCAGAAAAGCTCATAAACAAGAGTGATTTCCCTGGAGTGCCAAATTTAAAGATATTTATTGGCCTATATTTTACGTCCAGCTCCAGCAGCAGGTAATGAGTTTGATGCTGGAACTGTAATTCAATCTTATCTTGCAAGCATGGCGATGGTGGATAGGCTGGAAGAGGAGAGTTCATAAAGTTCAGGCAGAGTACAGCCCCGCTGAGTGCAGACTCTGCTACGAAGCTATGAACTAATGAAAGTCCGCATGGGACTAAGAAGATGACAATGACCAAACCCATGTTTATTTCTATTATTCCTTCACTTAGCTGTATTTTCAAGCTATTTCTTTCAAGCAGGGCTAACTGCCTGGCTACCTTTAGCATTGGAGGGGCCCTTGGTAAAGTTTCAGCTTCCAGAAGGGAAATTGCTTTCATTTACATCAGTCAAGAGAGCACTGTTTGTCCATCCTGTTTAGTCTGATTTAATGTGGGAAGAATGGGAGTGCAGATGGCAGCGGATGGAAGGAAAATACCAACTTGAATAGCAGCTGAAATGGACAGCAAAATGCCAAACGAAACGAAGGCGGAGTGGGGCAGCAGGGGACACAGGGAACGGGAGCGGCAGCGCTTGTGTGTAATAGCTTCTCTAAAGAGGACATAGCAAAAGGAAAAAAAAATCTACTCTAGCTCTTTAGGGAACTCAAGGTTAGGCTGTATCGGGCATAAGCAACCTGGTTCTGTATGGTAACTTACCATAGCAAGAAAGCATATATCTCAAGCATGTCTCAAACTCTGTCAGTTCCCATCAAAAGCGGTGAGGTAATGTGGTTATAAGAAGTTTCTGCGTCTCAGTCGTGCTGACTGAGGTATAAGAGCTTCATGATGAAAAAGATTATCCACACAGGAGATATGAAGAGGCAAAAGTGAAGAAAAGTAGAGCAACAAACTGCACAAATATTGACAAGAAGACAGAGTGGGGGCAGCAGATGAAATAAGAGCGAAATTAACCCTGTCAAAGGACTTAAAAAAATAAGGCCAGTCCAAATCACTCCTGAATGTTTGCAACTGATTGTGCAGGTTCTGAACCAGTACTGCCATGGACAATCTTCTCAAAGTGCAAAACCGGGAAAGTCCATCAATTACCCCATGCTGAACCTCTACCAGACTGCAGGGCCGTGAGGAAAGGCCGAAGGAAGGCAGATTTGAATTGCGAGAATGTATTCTGAGGCTACATCTCATTATTTCCAAGTATGTTCTGCCCAAGGCTGAAGTCGGAAAATAAGCTCTATAAGCCTAACAAATCAGTGTCAACTGCCTGGGTAATCTAAGAACTAGCTACCAGCCAATATTGAATTAAAGTCACTATCAGCCAAGAAGCTGACTGTTGCATGTCTTCAGCATTCCCCCTGCTCTTCAGGCTCCTCTGAATTGCCTTTCTCTCTTCCAATATATATTAAGAGGTATAAGCAACAAAAGTGACAAACAGCATGCCAAGTAAACCTTGAGCACCTTGCTGCCTCTGAGGATGGTCAGGCCAAATCCTGCGACTCTGCGAAGCCCAAAAGCTGCCAGCGAAGCGCTCAGAGGTAACCCATGCTCCTCTGTCTCGGGCTGCTAGCAAACACCGCTGGGAGCTGGCAACAACCGCACTATCCTCCCGTGAGCCCAGAAAAGTAGCACTATTTCTATGGAATTGGTCTTGCCAGTGAAGCAGCCCTTAGACAAAACTACGTGGGTGCAGTCAGACTTCCAGATAGCTCAACAGGAAGACACCGTATTCTGCTGTTGCTCAGCATTGATATGGTGCTCAGCTCAGCTCAGGTTGCTGTTCAAACCCTTGCTCCTCAGCCTCACACGGAGCTACGTCCACCCTCAGGTCAGAAAAGAAAGGAAACCTTAAACTGTTCATCAACTGACACATGCAGCTGAGATGACACCAAAAAGAAAAAAACGGTTGTGGTTTCTCATGTGCTTGAAGGAAAGCTGCCGACATAGGGAATCTCGGAGCAGAGGTGGTGATCCCTGGGGGCAAGGCAGGGAATACAGACCGGTCAGGAGGAAAGCCGAGAAAGCATTGCTTCTTGTGTGAATAAATCAATACATAAACTCATTTCCTCTTTTGGGTAAGGTGGAGGTGGGACATGAAGGAACCAGTAAGCAGGTGACTCTCAAATCTAACTGTTCCGTTAACAGCAAACAAACTCATTAGGCCCTGAATTTTCAAAAGCAGCTTCCGACTTTTGCTGCTGCACTCAGAATGACATGGTATGCTATTTTCAGCGCATGCATTGATACTCTCAGTACTTCCTTAAAAAAACATGTATTACTATGACATCCTTCAAAATGAGAGTGCCTGATAATTAATGGTAACTTAATCAGAGACAGAGAAGTTCAAATGTTTGAGTCAGAAGAGTAAACAGCAGCCACATCTGTGTGCCACGCAGTGCCAAGTTATGGTGCGGTGCATCAATTCAGGTCTTCCCTCTGGCTGCCCCGCTCCTCGTCCCCTTCTCTGGCTCCTCTGGAAGCATGTTAAGCCAACTCCACTCACTCACACACCACAGCAAACCCCAACAGCCCCCCAGACTATCTGCTCTTTTCACCAGGTTAATTTTCTGCCATTTTTGCAAACTGGACCGGTTGCTGATGAAGGTCAGGACCAGCTGGAGGAAGGCGGTGGGGAGTGCACGGCCAGGAGGGACGGGAGAGCCGTTAACGGGGCTCACATCGCAACGTGAAATGACAGCCCAAGCAGGCACCTTAATTCCGCTACATGAGTAGGGATGGGACATTGACCCTTTCACTTAAATATCTGGAGCATCAATTAGCGACAGAACTGGAAAGATGATCTTGAACGTTTTTAAATCGCAGCGGTACTTCATCCTCAGAAAAATGCAGAACCTCCTGGCCGAGGTTTTCCTTTCTGTAAAAGGAAAAGCGTCTGGGGACATCCAAGCAGGATCACCTTTTGACGGTTCGGCTGGCTGTCCATCCCTGCCGCGTGTGTGCTGCCCGAGTGCAGGAATACCTCTCCAGCAGCTGGTGGGGGCGAGGGCGGAGGGTCAGCGGGAACATGAGAACGGGAATGCGGAGAAGGCCATGAAGTGGGGAAGGGACGGCATCACTTTATACTGCGTTAATGCAGCCTCAGTTCAAGCCCCTGGTTAAGGGCTTGGATGCCAGACAGTCTTCACATCGCCCGTCAACGTGATATTGTAGAAAACTGAGGCCCTATCTGGATGCAGGACGCATCTCTGTCATCGGCATCAGTAAGAGCAAAACTGCATTTTGTGGCATGAGAATTAAACTCTGCCAGTTACAATTAGGGCTAAAAGACAGCACAGCACTGTGCCGTGCGCCGCCGCGTTTCGGGGCGGTACACTTACGCTTCTCGTTAGGCTGCGCGGTGTGGAAGAGAGTCAGGGGTCTCTCGCTGCAGGAGGGTGGCTTCGAATCCGTGCTCTTCTTGCGAGATAACAGCAGCTGGGAGTTCGACGGTGGAGTCTCGGGCACCGTGTTAAATATCTAGCAAACAATAATAAACAGGCTTTACGTAAGCATCACCCTTTCAAACAAAATATCTGTTGTCTACCTGCCTGGTCGGAACGCCTCTGCGATCACTTCAAGAACAGCATCTATGGAAGATACGTATTCAACAGGATAACAAGTAACGTGTACAAGTATCTGAAGGGGGAGTGTCAAGAGGATGGGGCCAGCCTCTTCTCCGTGGTGCCCAGCGACAGGACAAGAGGCAACGGGCAGAAACTGAACCACAGGAAGTTCCATCTGAACATGAGGAAAAACTTCTTCACTGTGAGGGTGACGGAGCATTGGAACAGGTTGCCCAGAGGGGTGGTGGAGTCTCCTTCGCTGGAGATATTCAAAACCCGTCGGGATGTGATCCTGGGCAATATGCTCTAGGTGACCCTGGTTGAGCAGGGAGGTTGGACTAGATGATCTCCAGAGGTCCCTTCCAACCTAAACGATTCCGCGATTCTGTGATAACACTGGTGTTTTCTGAAATTCCACGTTCCCGCCCTGTTGGCGCTCCTTTCCTCTCTGCCGCACCCAGGATGCCTCTTGTGAGACACGAAAAATCCTGATAATTC